GGAGGCGGGCCAGGCCCTGTCCGCCCTGTGCCGCGCCGCCATGCGCACGGGCCGCCCCTGCGCTGCCTTAACTTCAGTGTAAGGATCCGGGCGGGTCATCCCCTCCTGCTGCCGACAAACCTCCGTACTGCTCAAGCTTACACCCAAGAACACGCTGCACCGATGCCCAGTTCCCATCTTCCCAGTACGGCCCAGCACTGCCAATCCAAACCATGGGTTTCAATGACTCTTTAATTTAACTCACAGATGTAGTTTAAAAATAAATTTAAGCATACTTACGAGGCCACTTTTTTCCACTTACTAAGCTTCTAAAGTGTCTTTTTTTTTTGTTGTTCCTAGGCTTTTTTCCATTTGGAGAGAAAACCAAAAAAAATCCCAAACCCATACTGCGACTGGAACTTATCAGTTTGGATTGTCAAGAGTTTGTGCCTTCCCATCACCAAAACTCATTGCCCACCTTGCCCCACGTCCCCCAACACCTACCACAAAACCACAGCACCCCCCGATACCTCGCCTCTCAGCAGCGCTCCTCCCTTAACTTCAGACTCCCACCAAATCAGACACACAGCTAATCCTAAACACAAAATATGGTTACGTGAGGCAAATACATGGGAGAGCATGTGGTTCACTTAGCCTTTTTTTTGTGCCTGTAGTGATGTAGAATAAAAGAACTGTCGCTTTTAATTCAATCAGGTTTTTATTTTGAATGGCAATATTAACATTTTTAGAAAATGGAATCAAAGGCTGGCCATTAAAAAAAAAGATTAATAATGATGTATCAGCAAGCAAAGTCACATCTTTTTTTTCTTATTCTTTACTTTCTTCCTAGAGAATACAACTTGCTTCACAGCTGATCCTTTACAGATCCCCATCTTTACCCTCTTCAGAGTTTTCTGCTTTCGCTTTTTGTCAGGTCTGTAAAGCAAGAAAGGAACATACAGATTAGAACAAAATGAGAACATAGTTCTGTATTTTAAATAATCTGCCTATGTACATATATGAACTCAGAAGTACTGCCACAGAGCAAGTGACCTGCCTGCTTTTTATCATATCCTCCTTCAGCACATACTCCCCAGCAATATGGCAAGTGGACAACAGCAAAAGATGACATGAGCACCCAAAGCCAAAAAGCATCTCTTTCTAACTCATTTCCATGAAATAAGATCTCATCCCATCTGAACATTACTCCGTATTATATTACTGCAGTATCACACTTACTGGCAAGCTGCTCTGGCGCGGGAGAGACTGGGACAGGTACTGCGCTTGTGACCGGCCTTGCCACACACGAAACAGCCAGCGTCAGTCTTCTGACAAGTGTGGCTTTGAAGAGCGCAGCAGTTGCAACTGTTACAGTGAAACCAAGCTGCAAAATGAGTAACATGATTTAAGACCTCGAGAAGGTTCAGAATATCATTCTGAAACTGAGCTTTACATAGAGGCTGTATTACCAGGTTTTAAATTTTGTTTGAGTTTGACAGATGGACGTAGTCAGCTTCTGGTCCCTTATCACATGTCATAAGGCAGCCAGGTACCTCTTCATTAGATACACTGGGGAACTATTCCAATGTAACTGAATTATTTTGCCACTAGAACTATTACCCTGTATGTGCTCTTAACATGAAAAATAGTCCAGATGTTAAAATGGACTTAGGAATTGCAATTTCTGTATTGGTAACAGAAATTATTGCTTCAGCTAATGAAACACAAAGTACAACTGCATTTTGTGTAGGAAACGTAACCTGATTGTGCCCTCACAAACGTTTCATTAAGTGCCTATGCGTTTATAAAATCCTAATGAAAGAGTTTACAAAATAAGGAAACACTTATATGACAAAACAAAATACTTAAGTTTTCCCGTGACAAATATAAATGGGATTTAGCATGCCTTGACAAGAATTTATCAAGTTTCCACAGAGTGCAAACATACCTAAGTTATCGAATGGCAACTTGTGCGAAACTGAGATTTTTCCTTTACCCTTTGTCTTCTGAATGATTACATTTTATTTCTTTTACGAAGTATTTTCTCTTCTGGTTTGTCATCTCAGTTTGTTGGGACTATAGCTTAAACAGTAAGTATAGCTTTATTGAGATAAGTATTCTTCTGTACTTACAGGGTTTTACACATTTTTTGCAAAGAACACAATGTTTCCATCGTCTACCATCCTACAAAAGACGAATAAATGCATTGTTTGTTTGTGTTTGTTTTCAAAAAACGCTGTTTCTATCTTGAAACTGAACTACTGATGTATGGCCCCCCATCATTTACAGAAGCAGGTCCTCTGCAGGAAGGACTGTAACTTAAAAACAACAGTCCGGAGAACATGTGCCAACCACAGCAGAACGGCTGCACTTTGAAGCTGGCAACTTCTACAACTTCCGAAACGTAGGAAGAAATGTGTCAACAAGCTGCTGATGAATACAGCACGGTGTAAGTGGCATGTAGCAAACATTTCCTGTCCTCTTTCCAACGCAAAGGAATTGGGGAAACAGAAACTAATTCCCCGTGGATTACGAATTATGTCATGTGAAGTTAATAATAAGTCTACAAAACCAAACTGCCTGGAGTTTCCCAAGGAAATCAATATGGGAACAGGTTTTTACCAGAGCAAAAATTATGGAAGTTATTATTTGACTACCGCTAAAACTTCTATCCAGAAAGAAGTCCAAATACTTACTTTTGACGTACATGAATTGCATATCTCACAGTGCTGGTTACCTGAACTAACATACCGCTGACATATAGTGCAAAACCTGGGAAAAAAATAGATAAATGTATTTGCCCGTTATTTATCAAGAAGCAATATAAATTAATTTTAAACAAGCTCAACAATAAAGATATGGATTGCAAAACCACTAAATCAAAGATCATGCTTTTCATGCATAATATCACCACTTGGGCCCACAGCCTCATAATCATTTAGACACAGTACATCCAAATAGTAAAATTCGGGTGCTTGAATTCAAATTAGCAACACTTATCAGCAGTAAATCAAACTAGATCCATTCCTCTGTCCTTGAGACTTCTCTTAGTGTGCATTTTATTAGCTACTGCCTTATCCAAGCTGATTATCAGGGATAGCTGTAAATCTCTGTCTCTCATACGCATACACATTTCCTACAGACTGAGGAATCTCATCATTCCATACTGGAAAATGTAAACCTTGGTTTAGGTGCCCAGCTCTCCTACACATCGTTTATAAAACATGCAACCTTAGAATGAGACAGAGAAATGTACTTTTCAGCCTGGCATCCAAAAGTTCGGCATGACAATACTGAACAGCACCACCCCAAAGTCCTTGAGTGACTTTAAGCCTTAATTAAGAACAAACACACGCTTTCAGCCACTTGATTGTTAACACATCTTACCTATAGCCCTCTTCCACAGGAAGCACAATCATACTTGGGGTGAGGTTCGTGAAGATACGGACAGGGGACTGTCTACGACCTGTCTTGCCATGTTTATAAAGTGCATGATTATCATAGTCTACCTAGAAAAATAAAACCATAGAAAGTCTTAAACAGAATGCTAAGTGCAGATAGAACTATTTCCATAACTATTATCTATATGTGTGCCTTCTGAAGTTTTCTTTTTTATATTAAAGACTCTAAACCCAAATCAGATTACGAATTCTACAGCAAATATTTTGCCTCATTTATTCTTAAATTTGTGCAACCATAATATCAAGCTAGACCCAGGAAACTAAGCTCCCCACCGACTCAGAAAAATAACCTCACAACGCTACAATAATCCTATTTTACTTATGCCTTTTTGCTCTTTTGCACTGGATATCTGAGATAACATTGCAGTTGTTTGTTCACAGATTCCCAGAGTGGTAGGGGTTGGAAAGGCCCTCTAGAGATCATCTACTCCAACCCCCCTGCCAGAGCAGGATCACCTAGAGCGGATCACACAGGAACAAGTGCAGGAGCCTTTCGAAGGTCTCCAGGGAAGGAGACTCCCCCCCCTCTCTGGGCAGCCTGTTCAGTGCTCTGTCACCCTCACAGTGAAGAAGGGTTTCCTCATGTTCAGGTTGAACCTTCTGATTTCCAGTTTATGGCCACTGCCCCTAGTCCTGTCCCTGGACACCACTGAGAAGAGCCTGGCCCCATCCTCCTGACACCCACCCTTTAGATATTGATAAGCATTGATAAGATCCCCCTCAGCCTCCTCTTCTCTAAGCTAAAACAGACCCAGCTCTCTCAGCCTTTCCTCATATGGAAGGTGCTCCAGGCCCTTCATCATCTCAGTGGCCCTGTGCTGGACCCTCTCCAGCAGCTCCTTGTCCTTCTTGAGCTGAGGAGCCCAGAACTGGACACAGTACTCCAGGTGAGGCCTCACCAGCGCAGAATAGAGGGAGAGGGTAACTTCCCTCCACCTGCTGGCCGTGCTCTTCTTAATGCAACCCAGGATGCCATTGGCCTTCTTGGCCACGAGGGAACACTGTTGGCTCACGGTCATCCTCTTGTGTCTTCCACAAAGGAGCAACCCATTGAAAAAAAACGCCAAAGAACTACACTGTTTGGTCTACCTGGCTGTGCGGTACAAGAGTTGATGTGCATCTTAACCTATCAGAATAATTATGGAGTTGCAATTCCAATCAGCATTGTTTTTTCCAGCACTGTCTTCAGAGACTCATCACAAAACCCCTCATCTCTCAACACTAGCAGCACTGCACAGTCTAGCCTAGCATGAGTTTCCAATTTTCTTCCACAAATTTCTACTCTGCAAGATACAAATATGTTCCAGAACACCCATGTCAGACATTATGCAGAGTTGTTATATGAGAAAATAAAATTTAGCGCCATGGATGCCTGTGACTGGTCTCTCAAAAGTCTCTCATGTATACCTTCTTAAACAACTTACAGAACGGACACAGTATTGGAGAAGTTGACACCAGATTATTGCTTTATCATGACACCTTCATTTATAATGTATTTCCAAAAATTTCCATTGCTGTAATTCTACTCTGCTCCCAGCAGTTAAAAAGATGAAAGACACATTTTTTTTGACCTGGGCTGGGCACTACCCACCACGCTACTGACATTTCAACATCTGGGAATAACAAAACACTCTTCAAGTTACCTCTCACCTCTGCAATATGCACCTGTCGATATCAGTGCAAATTTCGTAACACTGAAAACCTGGCAGAAAAGGTGAGTTAATGGACAGATGACAGATGAGTTAAAGGGACATGATACACCGTGGGAGCCTGACAAAGTTATCAAAGGTTTGACTAATGCAAATGCAGAAGCTGAGGTTCACAAGATGAGCACCACAGGGTTTGCAGTGCCTCCAGTGCAGTCAGAACTAAAGTTCAAGAAGGCAGCCCATCTACAGACCAGTGCTACCACTGTGTCTGCTTTCATTCGTATTCCCGCTCACGCTGCGCACTACGGGACTTCAGCAAATGCACTGTGTTCAGCCATACCTGGTAGTCCAGCATACTGAAGCTTGGGAAATACTCAAGAATACGACTCTCAAAGAAGTATGGAAATATCCAAAACATGGGCATCTCCTGGCTGTTATGACCTACTAACAAAAAGACTTAGATGTAAAGAAAAACAAGGCATGGAAAGCATGAAAAATTGGCAGTAAAGGTCCTGAATACATAAAGTGGTGTATGTATGTCGGGCTGAGCATAAGCTGTTGCATTGTGACAGAAAGTTTTGACCTAGTTACGTTTCTACATAACTAATAACTATTGTCACCTGTCTAGGTTGGCAAGAGATGATACTGGTTTGATAGCTTATTCTTTTCTACCTTTAAAGTCCATTTCAACTGCTGAGCAGATTTGTTAATTTTTTTTTTGTATTATTTAACTAAAAGTTAATGGGCTATTATTTAACTAAAAGTATCATGGTAAGTAGTTATCTTACTGGCAGTAAGGTAACTAAGACACATGATGGTTTGTGTTCAGAAATTATAACACGAGTGTGCTCACATTTACCTGAGCAGCAACAATTTTAAACAGGTACTTTTTCTTACAGTGATGTTACAGCTCAACCCACCTACCTGGTTGTAACACGTACCTTCTTTTTCTGTCTCCTTCCACATTGCCATCAGCTTTTTAAAACTAGAAGCCAGTGCTTCCACTAAACCTCCAAACGGTGGATCAGTGACCATAATGACTCTTTCACCACTGTCTTGATGCAAGAATTTCCTACAAGTTTCCTGTGCAGCCTGTAAGAAACCGAGGTTAATTTCCAGAAAATATAGATTCAAGAACTGTAAAAATATTTTCTTTGGCAATAGAAGTATTATTTTAGAAGTTTCAGCTTTGAAGATGGAAGTTATTTTCTCTTGTGGAGGTGAATTCCCTCTTGCGTAGCATAAAAAAAAAAACCAACAGCTGGATTTGAAGCACTGAAAAGAAGCACCCTGTTCAGTTCATGTATTAAGGACAGATGTAGTTCAAGCTTCCTAAGATAACCTTCTTCCTAAGGGTACTAAATTTAACTTGGAAAAAGGTGTTATTCATAGCAAGAAAGCAAAGTTTAGGCTCAGAACACACTGATCAATGCCCTTTAGTTTTATTCTGTAAAGCATTAGCAAAGTAATGGGAAAATTCAGTCCACTGAAAACCGACTCAATCCACATTGGTTATAAAAATAGTTTTCCAATTTTAGCAATCCAACCTGGACTCTAAGTAAAGGAAATGTAAAAAGCTATATATTCACTGACATCTTGTAGTGTTCTCTCATCTTCTACTTAGATTCTCCCGTATTCCAAAACCAGATTTTTAACGCCAATACGCATTCAAAAGTACTGCAATTCAGTCCTTGAATATACTGCAACACAGTGTCATTACAGGTGTCACCTTTCCGCACCTTGAAATAACACTACAGTGTTTATAATGCAGCCTCCCGTTTCATTCCAGAGAATTCATTTTAGTTTTCAAGATCCCATTCAAAATTAGGCTTTAGAATGGAGAAAATCTGAAAATTATCTACACAGTGTGAAAGGCATTGCAATAAACATGTTCAAGCAAATCAGTGGTGGCTTACTCACAATGGCAGAGGAAGAGCAAAGAGTGAGTAAGCGAGAACACTACTGGGATAAATGTTTAAATTCAAGTTTGGAATTGAACCACACTGTGATTCTCCATACAAAGCTACAATACATGTCCAACTACAGCTGCAGGTTTCCTAATTAACTCAAAATTGAGCACTTAATGTGACATTTAAAAAGAAACAAGAAAGTCAGCATTTTTTTTTAACCACAACACTAATTCAACCTCAGGTTATGCCAACAAGTTTAACTTTTTGACCTTGGTTGCCTGGAATAAAGCAGAAAAAATGCCTCTTCCCTCCCACCTCAAGTATCAGGGAACAAGTCCTGTGGCATCCATTGGGCTTGTAAGGGCTGAGAATAAAACAATTAACTCTGTTGTAGCAACACAAGAACAGGGCTAATGAATACCTATATAAGGCAACAACTCACACCGAATTGTCATTTTAATAAAAGCAGCAAGTTACAGTGTGTAAGTAACATTAGCTAGCATAAATTTAATAGGATACTTCATCTTTGAATTAAGTGGGAGAGAATTACTGAAGAAGCACTGTTACTCTGAGTGCAAGTACTGTAAGCCACTTTTATCTCATGACAGTTGTTTTCTACCAGACTTTCTTACAACATTCTGCATCAACAACATGTACTTCATTACAATGCACACAAGAAACACTTGGCCTTACCTCTCCACCAAAAAAATGATGATTAAACATGTTGTAGTGGCAGAATTCATCCTCAGTGTAAAACTGTGAATATCTGTAAAATAAGTTTTAATAGTAGTAGAAAAATATAAACAACTACTTGCCTGTCCTAAGGACCATTTACAGAGAAAACAAGACCCTAAGAAAAACATCATTGGGTTCTGGTTATGACAACACATACCAACTGTGAATTATTAATATAATTACTTTTCTATAAACTGGGTATCATTTGTGTATGTGTGCAGGAACAGAGATGCAGAGACAGTAAAGGGAAAATAATCACAAATTTATCTTTTAAAGTGGTAAGTACACAAATCTGTGTACATAATCTTCAGACAAATAAATGTTTATCAAAACCTACCTGAAATCTATATCTAGCAGAAGGCTTCTAACCCTGAAATCTTCTTCTTGCGATGCTTTTGACTGGATCATTTCATGAAGCCTGAAGTACAATTGGAGCAAAGAAATTTAACACATAATCACTGGCTTCAGAAACTGTCTTGCAAGACAAGAATGCCTGGTACTTTACTAAACCTAAAACCAAACAGATAGAGAAAATGGAGTAATCTGAATTTGGGTGATTCCACTTGGCTGCTATTCAAAATTAGAAAAATATGTCAGTCTTAAAAGATGAAAAGTCAGTGAAGCCTACTGGATCACCATAAACAACACACACCACACACACCCCAAACATAAGCAAAGAAACTCACCGTTACTTCTGTAGAAAACAAAGCAGGGCATTTAAAGTGTGTTTGTTATTTGCACTCTTGTCCTGCATCTTACAAACTCAAAGCCAGACCTCACTAGATGCTTGGATAATACCACCCAGTTAAAGCACAGTGATAAGGGAGAATCGATTACTTAAATATTAGTAAGCTGTACAGTTTTGAGGCAGAAATACTGAAGTGTAACAACGCTCACTGACGTACCTAGGTGTTCCAACAGAGAGCACTCGTCTGAATCCTAAATCAGTAATTAGATCCAGTAAGAACCGGCAACTTCTGTCTGCAAATAAATACTGTGCATTTGTTTTTTTATTCTCCAGTGGATACAGAAGTTGACTGGGACTTTGTAACTGGGCAGTGGAGATATCGCAGAGGAACTGGTGATCTGAGTGTTTTTCCCATTCAGCTGGCAATAGCAATTGCTGGCATCCCTGGCAAAACCTCCTCTTCGATAATGGCAACAGAACAAAACGCTTGTACCTTTAAAGACAACAGGGAACAAACTTTGAAAAAGACTCTATAAGATACAAATGGAAGCTATGAAGGGGGTTTCATATTTTGTCTGAGTTCAGACATTTAAACAGGCGACATAGCTTAAGCAGCTCCTGCAAAACTCCATTTGAATGTGAATGAAGTCATACTTACAAAAAAATATTCAAAAAGCAAGCATATAATACACTGGCCAAATATATTGAGACTCCCCATAAAATAACTGGATTACAGAGTGGAGACCCAATATTATTAATATTTAGATTAGATATCAGGAAGAAGCTCTTCCCAGAGAGGGTGGTGAAGCACTGGAACAGGTTGCCCAGAGAAGCTGTGGAGGCCCCATCCCTGGAAGTGTTCAAGGCCAGGCTGGATGAGGCCTTGAGCAACCTGGTCTAGGGGAAGGTGTCCCTGCCCATGGCAGGGGAGTTGGAATTAGATGGTCTTTAAGGTCCCTTCCAACCCAAACCAAACCATGATTCTATGATATCAACCACTGCTTACACCACCAGCAAGCAGTCCTGTGCGTTGCGCACAGAACTCAAGAGATTATTTGTTCCTGTATTACTTTTGCTTCTTTTCACAGCGTGAGGCCTGTTACTTTTGCACACTAAAGTCAGGAATAATTTTTTGAATGGAAACTGCTACTGACCTGTTGTCAGCACACGATGAGCAATAAGGTAAGAACTGTACATACAACAAGAAGAAAGGATACAGTTCCTGGGTTGAAAATACTATGTTCAAAATTGGATTTTCAGGTTATTTTCCTGTTGCAGTCAATCAGTCATTATTTTTCAAAATCCCTCCAGCATGTTTTCGTATTTTAAAGAATCCTGAAATAGTATCTCTATATTCAGAGGACTTAAGCTTATGCTACTTAATTTTTACTGAATAGAGATAACAATACCTTTCCACGTTCTGTCTGTGTGTAAAAGGCGGCTGATGATTTCTATTATACTCTTCACGGGCCACAAGCCGAGTTTCTGACACCTGTAAAAATTACGCATATAAAAAGTTACAAAAGGAACAGAAAACACAGGGTGCATCGAAGGTCTCATGTTTTAGTTACTCTGCACAGAAAAATGATCACATCCTTTGGATTGTTGTTTCAGAAGAACAAGCCTGACCGCAGCACAGAGGCATGTCGCGTAACAACATGAATGTCCCCCTGTGAATTTAAACTGCAAAAAACAGAAACATTTCATTCTTCTATTGCATGCAATACTCAGGGAAAACCTCAAAATACGATTATGATGAGAACAGAAAGAGATACAGTTTCCATTAATGCATGCCAGCAGCTGCATTCTCTCTGAAGAACCATGGTCTGATCCTGCACAACTGATGACAGTAGAAATGCTGCCCAGGTCTCTTGCGTGTGATTATTTTAAAAGCATGACAGCTCTGCTCCGAGCCTTGTACACTGTTCCCCCAAAACATATTTCAGGGTTTCACAGTTAACAAAGTTTCAAGACATTCAAGCAAAACTTATGCAACTGATTTGCTTAAAGGGGGAGACAGCAAAATGCAATAGAACAAAAGACTCCACGATACAAGTGACATTCAAAAATGAGATTTCACTAGGAATACCATTTAAAACTACTCAAACAGGTGATTAACCACCTCATTTTCTCTTTATGCAATTTCTCAGTAGTAACCAGCACAAAAATTAAACACTTATGAACCTGATTAAATTCCACCCTGCCAACCTGCGGAGGACAATGACCACAGCACAAGACACTCATTTAGGAAACAGAAAAAGTAACACAAAATGTAGCTGACAAAAACCTCAGTAAGCTCTCCGTGAATACATATCAATCCCAACTTTGACCAAAGTTCTGCTGATGAAGAGAAATTGCTGCAGATATTCTGAGACTACTGAGCATCACGCTGATCCCCACCATCTCATTATTTTGTATATCCCATTGTTCGCCTGTATCCACCAGATTGTCTCTGTCTTCATCATGGAAGACAGTGACATCTTGGGACCAGAACTATCCTGTTGTGTTCAGCATTGCACAGTACTGGCAAACATCATAACTGAATACCCAAGTGTTTTTGGCAATACAGAAACAACTGCCAGTTTTGCTCAAAATGTACACAGCCTCCCTTCAAAGTTATATTCGTGTCAGAACATTATTCAAGTAAGTGCTCTGCTGAACACACAGTTTACAAACCAGTAATTGCCACAGGTTTTCTGAATAGAATGCACGGTTCCCCCTCCCCGTCCCTCTTATTTTTTCTGTTCAATAGAGATAAAAATCCCCAATATTTACCATCGTCTTAAGCAGTGCTCTCTTACCTTCTCATCTTCCCACTGGAAAAAGTTACAATCTTTTCGATCCCTACAAGCCGAACAAGCATAGAATCTTCTTCCCTCCTCCCTTCCTTCACTGGTCTTCACGAAGAGCAGAGTAGGCCCTGAAGGACAAGCGCAATTATGCGACGACACACGGACACCAACAGATCCGGTTTAATGCCACTAATGCAAACAGCAGGCTTCCAGAACAAAGCCTTGGCAAAGGTCACTGTAAAGCACAACCCCTCGCAGGGGAGCCGAGCGACAGCGACGCTCGGGGAGATGTCAAACGCCTCACCCCCAGCAACTGCGGCCACCTCAGCCAGGCCCGCCGGAGG